GGCGTCTGGCGACGGATCCGAGAGCGGCCGCCACCGACAACGAACGCAGCAGGCAGATGTGGAGAGGCCGGAGACGGCTGCTAACCCGCCGCAAAGCTCCGGCTCTGGTGTACTGGGTGAGTGTGCCCGGCCTGGGCGATGGGAGTGTGCGGGCAGGTGCATCGTGGTATGGCTGGAAACGAGACGCGCGTCAGACACCTCGAGGCACCCTTCTTTTGTCTGCACCGTGCTGCCGAAAGATTTGCACCAGATTACACCAGACGTCTATATAAAAAAAATACCTGTTCTTGCCAGGAAATGCCGCCTGCTGCCAGTAAATTTCTCCTACTCGTATGGAAAATGGCCATGTGTGCTTTTGACATAGTATGCTTTTGACCTTCTGGTGTATGTGTTTTCATGTGGCGGATCACGAAAGACTTACTGTACTTCTACTGCATTGAAGGGCTTGGAAACCGCACATGGTTTTGGTAAAGGGTTTTATTTAAGAAGGGAGTTGGTTCTACGTTGTAATTTGAGCTCTTCTTTCCCCCCTGGTAACCAAATGTTTAACAACTTCATGATGTCATCCAGGGATTTCTTAACCATGTACCGACTGGCTGTGGCTGCTTGTCTACTTAATTGTTATTGCCTCCGTGCCAGTTATGCTAGTGGTTAGCAGTGCAAATACCTGTGTACTTAGAGATGAACACTTATTTACTTTCTGTTTTTTACAAGCTTTATCACGTTAAAAATAGATTCTCTCTTGCCGGTTCTCCTCACTGAAGTTTAAGAAAGCATCTCTCTATACCAGCCAACAACCAATAATAGCACAGGATTTTCTGAGTAGACCAATATTAGACACCAATATTGAACAGGATCTAATTTCAGCTCTGGAGCCAGCTTTGTTTTCCTGTGTGCAGGTTGCAGCCTGCAAGTTCTGCTGCAGACTGATGCAGTGTGCTGTCAGGCACTGTGAGTGCCTGCTGGAGGTAACCTGAGAAGGCTGCTACTGCCTGCAAGAGTAGACCGATGTCATCAGATCGAGGTGGTGGCACCCAGTAGTTTCCCGTTTACAGTAGAGTCAAGATGAGCCAGCTTTGTTTTGAGGGCCAGCTGTGGCCTTGTGGTGAAGGAGCCTGAAACCAAAGGAACACAGGCCTGAATCCCATGTATGGATGACATCTAACAGAACAAAAGCTATGAACGTAACCTCAGTGGTGCATCTTAGGGGAAGGTTCAGGACTAACTGAAGTGCGCTTAATTATGTTTTCTTTTTTCCTAGTCAAGTTCCTCCTTGATTTGTCCACAGATCAAGTCCCTGAATGTCCATCTCCTAACTCTTTGCTTTGACATACTGTAGTAATTAGCAAGTATTAGAAAGTACAGCTGGAAAGGTTTGTTGATTCTCTACTGGTTTTCAAAAGTTTGCAATTTTAAAGAAACAATCTGATACACAAAATATAGAGACCACCCACCATATTAATAAGATTAATAAAAATGTAATGCATTTTCTTGGCAGGCGACTTTTAGGACACTCACGGTCATCGATTCAAGAACTGTAAAAAACATGCTGCCTTTACAAAGACAACTTTAAAGACCCGGGGCCTCTTCGAATTCTCATTTTTGCAGAGGAAATGTCCTGTTCTAGCCGAGAAAATAATGACCCGGAAGTACTTGGAGGACAGGAGGGTTTGAATTCTACAAATGATTAGGACTTGTCAGATTGAAGGCCCCGGGGGCCAGATCTAGCCCGCCACATCATTTTATGTGGCCCGTGAAAACAAATCATACATATAAACTTCTATGATGCTGGCTAAAATTGTGACCAAAAATTAGAATTCTCATATGTAATAAATAAGTGAGTTATTGTAGCATATTGCATATTTTTTGTTACCAAACTCCTAAATAAAGTAACTTAAACAGTAGTTGAAAACATAATTTTTCTTTGACTTCTTTATATGGTTTCAGTCATAACGGCCCTCCAAGGGAAATGGTAACTATAATATGGCCCACGACAAAAATGAGTTTGACACCCCTGATTTAGGAAATGTGCCTGGATGCAACCTTTAAGCCCACTTTAACATAGGTTACTCCTGACCAACCTTTCCGAAAGATTACCCCCAATTCTTTACGGCAACATTTAAAGCAGGACGCCACTGATGGAGTTGACAGACTATGCAAAGATGTTTGAGTTTCATGTTCAAGACTTATATCTTTTGAAATAATATAAAAGTGGATAGTCAATGATGCCAAGAAAAAGACGTTGAAAGCAAAAGGAAATTTGTGGTTCCACCCAAACAAACAAACAAACAAACAAACAAACAAACAAACAAACAAACAAACAAAACGCCTTTCCAGTATTAAAGAATGGACATTTCCTAAACCAGTGAAAAACATTATCAGTGGTTCTTCACAAAAACAACAATTAGCATCTTTATCTTTTTCATTTTATTATTAAGCGAATATTTTGTAGGTAAAGTCTGCAAGCAAGAGACTTACTGTACATCAGTGACACTCGTCGTCGTGCGATGACGTCTGTTAGGAAAAGTTGAAGTCAAATTCATTTGAAACAGTGCCGTCCTTTTCCTATGTTGAAAAGGAAACACCTTTTCATTTCTCCTTGACCTGATGACATCATCCAACAAAGGTGAAGGAAAGACGGCATGAAGGTCAGGAGATTTGACTTTTCCAAAGAGGCCCCTGGTCAACTGTCGTAGACGACCACACTGCATCCAAGCAGCTTCTTGATTATCTCATTAATTCCAGTACCTGAGTGGATAGAAACAGATATTATCAGCCACTTCAAATCTTGGCAAAACCGTCAGATACCTAATACATTTCTTAATGATGTAGGAGAGGCTATTTTTCATCTTTTGTTCTGGTTAAATTTGTTGATACAACTCTCGTGTGGTATGGTGTCTCTTTAGAATTTGCAGGTGTACTTAATGTGTGTCTGGAGTGGTGATTGAAGCTGGAATACGGGCTGGAATATAGTTCCAGGTACTGGACATCCATAAAACCATAGTGTCATTTAAAAACTGAACTGAGCTAATGTTCATGTGTTGGAGTTGTAGCATATATTGGGTTCTTCGGTGTTTATGTCAGAAGCATCTTGTACTGTATAAACAATCCAAAACATTTCTTGGTCTCGTGATAACTGTTCACCCCCACGTGGCCGTGAATTTTGTCCGTTGCGAATGGGCATTGAGGGTGATGGATCCTCACTGGTGGAGCTTCAGTGAGAATACCTTCATGATATTTCATCTCACCCGTGACATATGTCAGTGTCAGTCATCCAGGATTGCACCAAAGTCGGGTAATTCTTTTTTTTTTGGGGGGGGGGGTGCTGCCTACAAGGATTTTTCTTACCCAAGGCTTGGATAATCTTTATGCCTTTTGCATCCTCTTCATTTTCCTAATCCCATCCGAGTTGACTTGGATGACTTTGATTGTGCCTTCCCACTTTCAGCACACAAGTGCCATGTTTCTTCCCTTCAAAGAGTAATTAAGTGGCCATCATGAGGAACAAGGAAGACAAAAATGTCAACAATAAATTGGGGCTTCCTCGGGGGGGCCACTGTAGATAGAGAGAGTTTGTGTTGTGAAAATGAGGTCATGTCATTTGTGGACATCCAATTAGGGAGCTGAGCTACAGTGAGACTCGTACAATTAACAACGAGGTACAATCAGGTCAGGTTTCAGATAAGAATTTGGATCTGTGGTAATTCTTCGAAAATAATTCCACTGATGACCTTGTAGCTCATGCTGAGGGTACAGAATTGGAGGTTTGAACTTCTGTGGGGATAATAGCTCAAAAGTTGTCACCATTAAGTTCTCATCATTTTTTGGTCATAATTTAATTGAAATTGGACCACACCAAAAAAAAATCAAAACAATGTTTACTGTTTTAAAATATTCTTTGACAACGACCAGCGATTCTTTAATTAGTTATTTGTGTTCTTCAGGACAAGAGACTGCGACTTATTAAGGTCGTTGTCTCAGTGAGCGGCTAAGGCTTGCAAATGTTTTTGCACGGCCCAAAGGTTGCAAAGACATTCGGCAGACGTTGGCAAATAGTTTTAACGGTTGCAAATTGTTTTTCTTGTCGCCGTCAAATTTTCAACATGTTCAAAATTTATTCGGCACCGTTATAACTGTATGTGAACATCTTTGCAGCCTTTTCCAAACTTGAATGAACCCTGACGAAAAAAAAACATTCGGGCAGTGCGCCGCAAATATCCCCCTCCACTTTTTTACTTGTATTTGGAAGGTCCTTACCTCATTGCTCTAATTAACCTCCACCAATGCCGCCAACAGCAAGTGCATCTGTCCCGCTTGAACATCCGTCATGCCCAGAAATGGTGCCGCTGCCTCCGCTATCCTCCTTATCTTGTCACTCATCTTCTTCATATTCACAGCCAGATTGACCGTATGAAATATAAAAGACACAAAGTGCTCTCCCCTTATGCCCTTACATTTGTGTTAGCTTCCTCTGCAAATGAAATTCGGCTAACAAAAAAAAAAAAAAATCTATACTTGCTGAATTACCGCCACCCTTTTCCTAATTTTACATTCACTTCAAGCAACAAAGTGCCCTCCACCACAATTTGAGCGGTTTGGTTTATCACTCTCACATTCCTCATATTCATACTCATCTCCACATCTCCCGTATGTCCGCTTCCCATTACAATAGGCAGATACATGACCGTGTTTTTCATAGTTGTAACATCTGAGAGAGGGTGGGACATACTCTCTTACCCTATAGGACAAATATGCAACATTAACAGAACGAAGCAACACATTGCAATCAAACTCAATTAATACAGACACGCTTTCCCCTTGCCTTTACATTTTCAGTCTCCTTAAATTAACCGCCCATCCACCTGTAATGTCATGTTTAAATTGCTCAAAATCTTGTCCTTTAGTAATACCATAAATTGCCCCTGTCCAACTTTTATTTTTTTGACCTCAAGAACTCTTTTTTCGAATTGTTCAATTCAGGTTCCTCGTCGCACGGATCACTGAAAGGGAAAGCGGTACCTTGAATTTTTTAGCCCAGCAGCAATCATACTGAGCCAATGGTTTATGCATCCTCACACAGCTCTCAAACCAAGGGGCTGATGTTATGTGAAAGGCA